CTCCTCTCCTAAACTGAGTCCTCCTCCCTCAGATTCCAGAGTCAGAATGAAGGACAGGCTCAGTCTAAAAGCAGGGGCAGGACTAGGTGGTGCCCATTCTGTGTCCTAGGGCACTCAGTCCTCCCTCATTTCTAACCTTGACCACAAAGAGCCTCTCATTCTACCATGTTCCTAAGCCCCCTAGATCCCCATCCTCTGCTGACCTAAGCATGCTCACTGAGACCAAGACTCTGACTCCAAGGATTCCTTAAGGCTGACTGCGAGGGGATAGCACCTACCATCTGCACCCATATTCTGCAGGACTGAACACATAGGTAGATCAGTATAATTTTCTTGGAAGTACCCTTACTGAACTCAGGTGTACTCTATCCCTGAGCAACATCTCCATCCCTTTATATTGTATTTTTAATTTTTGAGACAGGGTCTAAGTTGTCCAGGCTAGCCTTGAACTTGCCGTCCTCCAGTCTCACCCTCTCAAATAATTGGGATTCCAGGTGTGCACCCCAACTCCATCCAGACCTGTATATTTTGGGCATGCTTTAGTTTGGATGGGACTTTTTCAGTTTTTCCTGAGCATCTCACTTTTTCATTTTCTTTTTTTCTTGCATGCCTGGCAAGTTCTCTAACAATGTGCTACACCCATAATTCAAACCTTGACCCTAACACAGCCTAAGCCCTGTCTGCTCCACCAAACTTCAGCATGGCCATCAACCTCTGTCTTATCCCCCAAATCAGAACTCAGAGGATGTCACAATGGGTTGAGTACCCAGTTCCTCCAATGTTGGAGAGCAGGGGCATTCAGTGATTCTTTGGGCTTTCCCTGTGCTCTCCAGTGCTCCTCACTTTGGATCCTGCCAGAGCCTGGACCTCTGTTCTCTATGTACCTATATCTGCCCCTTCAGACCAAGTCTGTGGTTTCAGCATCCTATAGGGCAACTAGGGAGGATGGATGGCCACAGATGCAGCCTAGATTGTTTAGGAACCCTCTTTCTGTAGTGTGACTTCAGCTGACCCTCAGCTCTCACCTTGACCCCCAACAGACCCCAGACCCTTTCCACTCTGGTGATTTGTAATCGCATGTTCTAGCATAGGAGATAACTCCTAGGGTCCCCTGCTGCCAAAGGGATCACTCTGGAATTATACCTATTTCCCCTGGGGAGCAAGGCTGGCTACAGAGACAGCCTGGGTGGTTAGGAGACAAACCTTCAGGGGTGAAGACACCTCAATACACCCTCAGCTCTCATCTTGACCTCTTATAAATACCAAACCCTATCTGGTCCTGGTCACCTTCTAGCAATGACTAACTTATAGGGTCCCCCTTAGGGGTTCATGGAATTCTTCATTCTAGAGCACAAGACTGCCCACAGGGGAAGCCTAGATGGTTTGGGACCATCTACCTACTGTGTGGCTTCCTTCCTAGTTCTTTGACCCTCAACAGACCCTAGACCCTGCTTGCCCTAGTGTCCTGGATTGAGTGACTCAAGGATTAGGTTTCTCAGATTCCCCTTCAGTAGAAAGGGTCACTTTGGAATTCCGTTGTCTCACTTCTAACCCCACCCCCCCTCACAGAGGTAGCCAGGTAATTTTGGTGATAGTCTGCCTATGGTGTGGCTTTCTCAGTCCATGGGAAGCTGGGAGTTAAAGCATCCTACCATCTGCACCCATATGCAGCTATCACATGATTCTGATCATTCCTAGACTGTGTCTGCTCCCATTAAGCCTCAGACCAAGGCTATAACACCAAGGATCCCCTGTGTAGAAGGGATCACCATGGAATTCTATCCCCTATGGCACAGGGCTGGACACAGGCAACCTAGGTGATCTGTGGACCCCCACTCCTGGTTGGGGACTCTTCATTCCACCTTCAGCTCTCTCATTGATCCTTGACAGGGCCGAGGACCAGCCCCTCCCCGTATGCCTCAGCACTTGCTTTAACTCCTAGAGTCCTCTGTGGTGGAAAGGTTTCACCCAGAAATTTTACCACCCCCGGGGGAGGCAGGGCTAGCCACAGAGATTTCCAGGAAGACTAATGACAGTGGTCTATGGTGAGGCTTCTTCAGTTCACCTCAGCTCTCACTTAAACCTAAGATCCCTGATATTCCCCACTCTCATGACCTGTATCCCATGGCTCTAGTATCAGCTGTATCCCCCAGCATTTCCTTGGGCAACAGGTCACCCTGGAATTTTGCCCCTCACCTGAGAAGCAAGGCTGGAACCATAGGCAACCTAGATGATGGTGTATGCTCCCCCCAGGGTGGGTCCTCCTCAGTCTACCCTCAGCTCTCACCATAACACCCAGAGTGCCCTGGCCCTCACTTAGACAAAAGCTTTAACTCCCAGCATCCCATGCAACAGAAAGGGTTCCCTGGAATTCGGTCTACCTGAAATCAAGAAGGTCAGGCCAAGGTACTAGGGTGGGTTAGGACCCTCTCCTGGCTAGGTCTTCCTCACTCCATCCCACCTCTCAACTTGACACCCAAAGTGGACAGGTCTTGTCCACTAACTCAGCCCAAGGTGTCATCTCCCAGCATCCCAAGAGTGAAAGGACTCCTTGGAATTCTGTTCCCCACCCCATGAAGAGCTGGCCAAGGTACTAGTTGGTTTAGGACCCTTGCCAAAAGTTGACACTTTCTCAGTCCATGCCAACTCCCACCTTGACACACACAGTGTCCAAGCTTTCTAGGCCCAAAACAGCAAGGGCTTAAACTCCCAGAATCCCCTGCGACAGAGGGGGAGTTCCCTGGAATTCGGTCCCCCAGAAACCGAGGTCTAGGGAAGGTACTAGGGTGGTTTAGGAACCTCCTCCCAAGCTGATACTCCTCAGTCCATCCCACCTTTCACCTTAACACCCACGGTGCCCGGGGCCCTGTCCACTCACACAGCCAATGGTAATAAATCCCAGGGTCCCCTGTGGTATAAGACACTAACAGGAATTCTGGCCACCCACCACGTGATGGAAGGGCCAAGGGAGTGGGGTGGTTTAGTACCCTTCACCCAGAGTGCAACATCCTTAGTCCACCCAAGCTCTGAAGGTGACACCCACAGTGCCCAGGGCTATGATGGCTAACTCACACAATGGCTTTAACTCCCAGCATCCCTTCCACAGAATGGATTCCCTGGAATTCTGTCCCCCAACCTGTGAAGGACTGGTCAAAGCACTGAGGTGGTTTAGAAAACATCCCACAGGGTGGGATCTTCTCATTCCACCTCCTTTCACCTTGACACCTACAATGCCCAGGACCCTGTCCACAAGCTCAGCCAAGAGCTTTAAATTCCAGGGTCCCCTGTGGGAGAAGGGGTTCCCTGGAATTCTGTCTCCCACCCTGGGAAGGGCTGGCCAAGGTAGTTGTGTTATTTAGGACCCTCCAGATGGGATGGACCCTTTTCAGTCCACCCCATCTCTCACCTTGACACCCACAGTGCTGGGGCCCTGTCTACCCACCAAGCCAATGGCTTTTAACTCCCAAAATAACCTGCCAAAGAAGGGGTACCCTGGAATTCTGACCCCCACCCTGCCAAGGGCTGGTCAAGGTACTGGGGTGGCTTAGGACCTTCCCCACGGGGTGGAATCTCCTCAGTCCACCCCACCTCTCACCTTGACACCCAGAGTTTCCCGTCCTCTCCGCTCACTCAGCCAATGGCTTTAACTCCCAGCATCCCCTGCGACAGAAGGGGTTCCCTGGAATTCAGTCCCTCAGAACCCTAGAAGTTCTGGCCAAGGTACTGGGGTAGTTTAGGACATGCCCCTGGTTGGACCTCCTCAGTCCATCCCAGGGCCCTGTCCACTCCCCAGCCAATGGCAAAAAATCCCAGCCTCTCTTGAGCTACAAGGTGTGCACAGAAATTCTTTCCACCAGTCTGTGAAAGACTGAAAGACAGGCCAAGGTACTGGAGTGGTTTAGGAACCACTGCCAGGGTGGGACCTCCTCAGGCCACCCCAGCTCCCACCTTGACTCACACCACCTGCTCTGTCACCCCAGCTCACAGCTTGTCACTCACATTGCCCTGCTCTGTCAATTCACTCAGCCAAGGGCTTTAACTCCCAGCATCTCCCAAATCTGGAAGGGGTACCCTGGTATAAGGGATCAAGATGGACGGGGCACCCTGGAATTCTGTCCCCCACACTGGAAAGGGCTGGCCAAGGTAGTGGGGTGGTTTTGGACTCTCCCCACCGGGTAGGACCTCCTCAGTCTACCCCACCTCTCATGTTGACACCAATGACACCCCGTCAACTCACTTAGACAATGGCTTTACCTCTCAGCTTCTCTGCAACAAAATGGATTCCCTGGTATTCAGGCCCCCCGAAATTGAGAAGGACTGGCCAAGGTACTGGTGTGGTCTAGGACCCCTGAGTGGGACCTCCTCGGTGCACCCCACGTCTAATCTTGACACCCACAGTGCCCTGACCCTGTCAACTAAGTCAATAGCTTTAACTCTCAGGGTCCACTGCGACAGAAGTGAAATCTTTTACCACAAGAAGTGAAGGGCTGGCCAAGGTAGATTTAGGATCCTCCCCACAGAGTGGGACCTCCTTAGTCCATCCCACCTCCCACATGGACAGCCACAGTACCTGGGCCCTGTCAACTCACCCAGCCAATGGCTTTAAGTCCAGGTGTCACCTGTGACAGAAGGGGCTCTCTGGGATTCTGTCCCCCACCCCGTGATTGGCTGGCTAGGGGACCTTGGTGGTTTAGGACCATCCCCAAGGGGTGGGACCTTCTCAGTGCATCCCACCTCCCACCCTGTCACCCACAGTGCCTGGGTCCTGTCTACCCACCAAGCCAACAGCTTTAACTCCCAGTGTCACCTGAGACAGAACGGGTTCCCTGAAATTCCGTACCCCAACCTGTGAAGGGCTGGCCAAGGAAGTGGGGTGATTTAGGACCCTCTTGATGGGGTGTGACCTTCTCAGTCCATCCCACCTCTCACCTTGACACATAGAGTTTCCCGCCCTCTCCGCTCACTCAGCCAATAGCTTTAACTCCCAGAGTCCCCTGCGACAGAAGGGGTTCCCTGCAATTCGGTCCCCGGATCCCAACAAGGTCTGGCCAAGGTACTGGAGTGGTATAGGACCCTCCCCTGGTTGGACCTCCTCAGTCCATCCCAGGGCCCAGTTCGCTCACCTAGCGACCGGCAGTAAATCCCAGCATCCTTTGCGCCGTAAGGCGTGCACACGAATTCAGTCCTCCAGTC